CTTTGAAGGAATTGGATTGACATGAAGTTGTTTGAAAGATAAACCCTTTCAAGATCGTCGATCCCGCGAGTCAGAAACGAATAGAAGCCATTGACAGAGTTGGTGGATGAAGGATCCATTTTGATCTTTTTTTTCTCTTCTTTTTCCTTATAAAATTTCTTTTCTTTTGGTGTGTTGAAATTGAGTCTGGGATAAAAAAGAGAGGGTGGTATTTAAATGGTGAGAGGAAGAAGAAGGAGGAGGAGGAGAAGAGAAAAAGACAGAGAGAGAGAGAGAGAGAGAGATGAAATGGAAAGTAAAGGGAAAGAATGGGATTATGGGAAGGAGGGAATATCTTAGAAGAAGAAGAAGAAGAAGAAGAAGAAGAAGAAGAAGCAGCAGCTCAGGTTTCTAAGGTTGAAAACGATTGTTGGGAGCAATGATGGGTGTTTCCTATAGAGGGGAAAGGATGAATGGTAATATGCCATTTTCATTGTTTAATGGGCTGAAAGGATGTGTGAAAAAATAAAAAGAGATTTATGGAAAGAAAAATTGTCCATAAAGAAGCCTAAAAAATACCCAAAAAGGAAAGAGACTATCTGTTCTGTGTGCTTCGCTTGTAAGTTCAGAGAGAGAGAGAGAGAGAGAGAGAGAGAGAGAGAGGTTGGCTCATTGGCTCATTGGCTCATTGGCAGAGGAGAGGTGTATACTTATACAACAATAAGAGCATGAAATTTTCAGGAGCTCCTCCAGCTCCCTTCCAATTTCTTACTTTTCTGCCTTTCTTTTCTCCCACTTATTTAAAGCATGCCCAATTGCCCATTATCAATTTTATACATGTACAGTAAAATTATAATAGAGAGGCATAGAGTGTGGGGTAGAGAGAGAGAGAGAGAGAGAGAGAGAGAGAGAGAGAGGTGCAAGTGGGTATGTTTAGTTTACTAATTTAGTTGGAATTGTGAGGTTTTTAGATTTTGAGGTTATTGGGTTGTAAAGTGTTTGACTGGATTGACTGGGTTTTTCTAGTTTCTACTTCTTCTTCTTCTAATTCTTTCTTTCAATATTCTTTTGATTTGAGTGCTCTTTGGCTTCTTCTTTCCTCTTTTTCTTCCTCGAGCTACTGACTTGGCTCCTTACTTCCCCCTCTATTCTATTGAAATTTGTGGTTTGTATTTCCTAGATATTTCTTGTTTTGTTGATTTTTTCCAAAAGGGAGAGAGAGAGGCTTGGAATGATGAGGTTCCTTGTATATGCATTGTGTGTCTTGTAATTTGTAAACCTTCTTACCATGCATAATCAGTCTTTTTAGGCCACATTTTCTCTTTAATAATTACGGTTTAGGATTCAAGTTCTAGTATTCGTGCAGTGTATGTGAGTTTAATATGTTATCGCCTTTCTCAATAACAAATATCCTAACAAAAATTAATTATATAGTTTAATTACTTTTCCTCCGGGGACAAAACTGGATGATGCTTCTTCATGAATCATGCCCCTTAGCCCCCTCCAATTGAATTCAATATTACATACAAGACCCAATAATTTAATCCCAGCCGTTTACTTGGTACTCCTTAGGACCCATCTAACGGCGGAGAAAGCAAATCTTAGTGTGAAATGATCAACTGCATGGGCCCCAAAATTCTGCTGCAGTCCACTCAATGGGGTTATTAATGATTAAGGTGGTTTTAGACATTAATCTACGGCTATAAATATGTTTAAAGTTATGAGGTGTATGTTTGTTTATTGCTTATCAAGCCATTATGAATTTAATAAAACCCCCATCTTTATTTATCTATTCATTTTATTTTTTTTAATGGGGGTTGGTCTTCTTTCTTGATGTGGGGAGGGGGGACCAGGAAATCTAATTTATGTTGGGCTATGTGACATTTTACTTGATTTTATTTTAAGTCGGGTGCTCGTGGGTTTTTGGAAAATATGACATCTTT